ATCTGGCTCTGTTTACTAAAATGTCAAAAAAAAAAATACTAAAAACATCTCTGCTTACATCAGCACTGACATATTTTTTTTTCAGTACCTCTTTTTCCATTTTTAGACACAGCAAAGATCTTTCTTTCACAATCTTAGTCTGGTCTGTGAGTGATTTGTAAGCAGGATCAGAGAAGGCTTAAAGAAGAGGACGATTACCTTTGACTGGACAGGTTTTCCATTTTCGTAGTGGATCTCAACATAATCCGAAGACAGTAAGTCACTGTTCAAAAGAAATACTTGAATTAGAAAATGTTATAAATTAGATTTTCTTTTTAACAAGAAAAAAATTGTATTTGAAACTATCTTATTATAAATTCAGATAAGTTAACCCCAGGGACAAAAGCAAGACCAAAAAACACACTTCTTCTTCTTCTTCTTCTTCTACGTGTCTAAATTCCAATCTAAAAAAAAAATGTACCGTAATACTGTTTTATGTTGGAACTATTTTATAAACTCTTGAAGGGTTGTCATGTTTGAGTTCGAAGACAGAAATAGATGAAAAAGGAAAAAGGGGTAGGAGGTTAAAACAAGAAGTAGGAATGAGTCATGCAAAGCCTTACCAATAAAAAAAAAGATTTATATAAAGTTAAAAAAAAGGCCCTCCAAAAGTTGAATAACAATGTTATGCTTTATGTGTTCTGTTTTCAGTTCTTTTCGCATAGAAATGTAACTATATTTATAAATTTGGGTTCAAATAACCAGAAAATGTAAGGGTGATTTTGTGTTTACTCTAAGTGTTTCTAATAAACGGCTTTTAGAAACCAATTTTAGACTGGCTGTAGAGTCTTGGTTTGGTCTTATCCTTTCTGGTACTCATCGTAAAACAATAATAGCTATTATTTCCGATAACTCAAACCTCGATAAGGTCATTGCTTTATATATTGCCTAATTCCTTTTTTTTCCTTTTTTCTACAGTGTCATGTCTGGCAATGTGGCATTAAGAATAATTGTCTTGATGCCAAAAAGAGCCCAACAGATTTGACTAATTATTTAACATTAATTCATACCAGGTAGTTACTTATTACCAGTGCAAATTCCTGTGTGAAATACATATTGTGATCAAAACATTTACAGCCTTTCCAGTCAGAGTAGGAACCAATTATAAAAGCTAGGCAGTGTAGAATCATAAAAACAGCATCAAGTTAAAAGGATCAAATCTAGTTTTCTTTAAGTCTTTATAGTTATTTATGCAGCTGCTTTGATCAGATTCTTTTTGCATGTTTAGCCCCTGGTTCATGTTTCCCACAGGAATATAATTGGTTATGTAAAATATCCAACCTTCATCTCCTGGGATGCAGAGTTCACAGAATAATGTTCACATAAACTAGTATTTTTTTATTTGATTTTTTAACTATAAGGACTGTGTTAATCTTAGTTTCATCCAATAGATAAACCTAAATAAAGAATTATCTACTGCGGGTAAGTTACTAACCACTCTAAACCTACATGTTCCCTTAAATCAGGAAAATGTGACTCAGTCCCTGTAGAAACATTTGTCTTTATGCTTTCTCTAGCTCACATGTTGTGGCTGCTGTTGGAACCTGAGCAATAGGCTACTCAAACCTTTCCATTTTAAAAGGGTGGAGGCGTATGATTCATGGTTTAACTCTGCCCTGCACAACACAAGCAACGAACAACAACAAAAAAGGTCAGAAACTGAAAACAAGCTAAACTGTATCCAACAGAAACCAGTAAAACACAATGAGAGATAGAAACAAAACCGAAATCGAAAAGTGATCACCGGGCTCTGGATTTCACCTTGAACACAACAGCCCTGCTGTCAGTTGCTGCTGTCTGAGTCAGCATCTCTCACTGATACACGCACTCTATCAGTTAGCTGACTTCAAAAGACTGCAGTTTTTGTCATAACTGCATTTTTTTGGGTGGGTTTTTGCGTGTGTGTCATATTCTTTCACCTGGATTAAACCTTGCAAATCAGCAACATCCCCATCCAAGTTATGTAGATGTCACATGAAAAAGGAAAAGCTCTGACATGTTTGACTGAAGCTAAGCAGTATGAGAGCATGAACTGCATCTTTGCGTAGAGAAAAGTCAGGACAGGAGCGCTATCTCTGAGGTATTCCTCAGTGCAGGAGCTATTTTTAGCTCAGCAGATGAAGCAAGGCGAGACGAGTGGGCCACGGACAGTGTCTTGGTGTTTGCCTGTGTGTGTTGAGCGTGAAGGGACTGAGTGCAGGAACATGGGCACCTTGAGGAGCATGTCTGCTTGATTTGTGCAAATAGAATGTAGAAAAGGGGAGTCCTACTCGGAGGTCCCTCAGTGAACAGAGTGCTATGATGCAGCAGCAGGGAAAAGCCAGAAAGGAAGGTCCAAGAAACTACACAAGGTTCTCACGTCAGCCGCCTGATAAAATCATCAAGCTCTCCTGCAGCACATAATACTGCAATACATTTCCTGCAACAGTGGAATCTGTCTCTAAATTAAGAGGATGTTCTATAGAAAGGTCACAGACACTCACATCCTGCACATCCTCAGATGTGGAACCCCTCTAGGTAAACAAGATTGTGTTCCTCTGAAACTAATTAGTCTAAATTAAATTCCCCCCAGATTTTTATCCTAGATGCACCAAGAGATGAGCAGGTAAAAAACAGCAAACTCTAGCACTTTGCAGATCCAGCTATATTTAGCTTAGTACCATTACAGCTATAACACACAGCAAAGAATTCAAGCCGCTGTTCACAAACCAAAAAAGGGCCATCTCAGAAATAAAACAACACACAAACAGCTGGTTATCAAGGTCACACTTCCCACTGGTGGGTTACTTGATGTCACACAACATTTCCTGAAAAATAAGTTGATAATTTTATTACAGACCATACTTACGCTAGAAAGCAAAGCCGCATTTATACTTTTCAGTTTCTGACCCAAAATAAAAAAAACACAAACTCAGGCAGATTTCTTACACTGCTGCAGAAAACTGCAGAATTCTGCACTTTGTCATTTCTGACAAATATGTTATTTTTTCTAATGCATTTTTTTGCTGTAAAATCAGCCAAACTCTTCATAGAACAATGAGAAATTATCACTTTTTCTATTCTTTCCTTATTATGTTGGAAATCGATGACACAATCTGCACACATATGAAAAAAAATCTTTCCTTTACAAAATGCCTCTGGTGACATCAAATATAAGGTATGAGATGAGAAATCAAAGTTCTTTCAAGAAGGTTTATTTGCATATTTTCAATCCAAACCCGAGTTCAAAGAATTCATTTTACTGGCTTCTTTGAAAAGGCCCTTTCCCACCATCTAACCTCAGTACAGCCTATGCTATTGTTATCATTCCAACCAACAACACTGGGAAGAACACAGAAAATATCTTGTTGTACTGAAGTAAATAAGAGAAGTTGTGTAAACAGAGTTCAGACTACATGTGCTCACATTGCTCTGATAAATCACATCTATACTTTTGGGTACACGGGTAGAAACTGGCTTTACTTATTTTATGGCTGTTGACCAAACATAGGAAGGGATATCAGCCGCACTGGAAAAGTAAAACTAATCAGTTTCTGCATAGGTTTAAGTTCTAAAGTTGATGATTGTTCTTAATGCTTTCGCTTCAAAATTCTTTGGGCTCCTATACCCCAAAAATACTTCAGTAGACCTCCATAGTATTCACTTATATACCAGCTTTAGCATTAATTTTAAGCCGCTTGTGAGGCCATTGAACCAAATATAGATAGCGCAGAGTTAGTAGAAGTTTGTTTTATTTTCTTTAGTATCTTTAGTGGTCTTTATCCTGCAGAGGGTATCCCCGCTTCATAACCCATTACCTTAAAGAGAAAATACAAAAAATAGTCACAATATCTTTTTAAGATAATTAATCTGCTAATTTAACACCTTAATCATTGATCATAAATATAAATGAGAACTAAATGTTACTCTTATTGCCTTTTCCTTTTTTTTTACCTTATATTTTTGGACATATATATGGTAATATATTACTGGTGCACTTTTTTAAAAATTGGTAATGAATTGATCTGGTTAAAAAGCGCGGTTCAAAATATGTATAACCAGACTTTTATTACACAGTTACATGTGTAATCATTTCTGGTTGTGTTTCATTTTTGTTTTTTTTCTGATTATATTCTTTCTTGAAACTATATTAAGTTTATGTTTATGACACAAATTAGTGGGTCTTTCTTTCTTTCTTTCTTTCTTTCTTTCTTTCTTTCTTTCTTTCTTTCTTTCTTTCTTTCTTTCTTTCTTTCTTTCTTTCTTTCTTTCTTTCAGATCCATTAACCAGAGTGGCTATTAATATTAATACTGTTATAATTAATTCATACTATTATAACAACTTTCATGGTATTTCAGAGAAACTTGACACACTACATTCATAATCTTAGGATTTATGTTGTTTAACATTACAGTAAGAAAGCAAATTATCAACTGAATTTAAATTGACACCCTTCTTCTGAATATGAATGATAAAGGAATTAAAAACCAATAATTACTGTTGTTTTATATAAATATTAGACGAAGCAATTCAATTACAACATACAAAATCACAACAGTGATTTAAACCCCATTAGGACTTCTTAGGCATACCTTTAATACTGAATTCCTGGAAAGAATTTAGATCTGTTTCACCCTATGTCATTTTAACATGTCTGCAAACTGTCAGTTGAAGAACCAGCATCCTGCTAATTTAAATCACATCTTCTTTAATCACAGTATTTCCATCTTATGCTGCATTAATCAATCAATTAATACTAAATCCATCCTAACCCTCACATTGCACATAGAATGTATTAACTACCAATCACTAATTATATGACCATCTACTATTCTTTAGTTAAGATAAACCAATTCTTGTCTCTAAAATAATTACAACATATCGTTCTTTTTTTTAATGTTTTTCAGTCAACATTTGCTCAAGCATGTTAAAAAGTACACTCCACCATTTTATTCAAAAGCATTTTGGTGTGCACGGCATTTTAAAGTTAAACAGCATTTTTGTGGATCTGTGCTGCCATGCTTACCTCCAGCAGCACTAACAATACTCCCTTTCCTGGGTCTTTACTACTAACTTGATGCCTTCAGCATATTCTTAGTTTTAAATGCTGAATAATTAAAGACTTTTTTTATGTTGCACGTAATGCGTCTCCCATTAAGGAGGTCACAGTGGTTCTGCGGGGGGGTCAGTCTCTGCATTGGTCATTGAGTCCGAAGCTTAGAGCTAGGTTTGAGATGGGCCAAGAAAAAAAAATTTCCCTATGTAGAACATACTGAGAAGAAAACGTGTAAGAGTGAGCTTCTGACACAAAGGGTTAGGTGAGTACTCTGACACTGCCTGACTTTTCTATAGGAATGGCTTTAGATATTTAATTTTTTATTCATTTTTCCCGCAAGAAGATTATTAGTTGTGCAGCGTCTCCTCCTCTCTCTTCAACCCATGTCAGTAACCACTTCAAAGTATTTTTGAATTTTGAACTGAATTTAGGAGTTGTTATAAAATCATGGAGGTATTGACCTGTCGGGGAGTAGCCATATCCAGGACCAACTAGCAAAAATTACAACAAAAATGAAGATGCTAATATGGTTATCTACTGCAGCTAAGGGAAATAACGTGAGTCTCTGAGAAGTTATTATTAGTAGATATAAAAGCCACTACAGATGCACTAGAGATTGTTTTTAAGTTTGTTGCTGCTGTGTTATTTTGCATTTGTTAAATGACAACATTTTCGGAGCCTTGGTTGCAAGTTTTGCTCTGAGTTACTCTGCATTTCATCCTACTGCAGATGGAAGACTTACCAAGGGTCTTAAAACCAATGCAATTAACACCACTTTGTGCAGGTCTGTTAACCTGGACATGACACAGCATCCCTCTAGTAGAGGTAAAGGAACTACAAGGCACAAAGAGTTACTTTCTCTTACTTGTTCAATGTTAGATCCAGAACGAATCTGGTCCCGAACGCCTCTAACTGGAAACTGGCTTGGGCAAGATGGATGGTCTGCAGATGAGGAAAAAAAAATTTTTTTATGTCCAAACAGACAAAATATATTAATCCTGGTCTATACAGTTATTAGATATCAAATTTCTCCCATACTTTGGGAAGAAGGATACGTTCTATTCCTGAGGCTAAATACAGTTTGAAGAAAAGCATAAAACTGGAGCAATAAATAAATCCTCAAAGCCTTGTGAGTGTTTAAACACCATCCCTGCCTGGGAGCGGGCTTACTTGGTCAGCCTTGGCCTGGTTCTTGGCTCGGGTGTTGAGGTCATGGTGGGTGCTCTCTGAGTCCTCATTCAGGTAGTAGATCAGCCGTGAGGGGTAGGTGATGGTGTGTTCTGCTGCATGCTGTGTTATGTTGTCTGTAGCAGGTGCTGCAGTCGCCTGTTGCTTCAGCACTGCTGACACTGTGCCCCTCTCAACCTTGTCCTCTACTCGTTGGGTAACTAGATTTTCACAGAAATAACAAATCTAACTGACAGTGCATAAAAGCTGCCATCTACTAAATAAGGTATGCACTTATTCTTTAAATAGCTTAGATCCATATATTTACATTTAAATATGATGATTGAAAACACATTAAAACAACTATGTTATTTCAAGGAATGGACTAACATCAAAAATGAATGAGCAATGCACAAATTAAGACTCTGTTACTGATGATCCATAGGTGGGAAGCAGAATAGACACTGATGCTTTTAAGTGTCTGAACAAAAGATGCTGTTGTCATGCTATTTTTCATGCACCATCACGTTGGAGAGCCGCATATTAAACTGAATAATTCCCTGTGTTTTCTGAAGGGGGGATAGATTAACCAACATAAGATAAGACGGACCGTTAAAAACATTTTTTTTCCGAAAGATTAAAGAATATATAGGGCGTATCCATAGATGTGCGCGTGGAGATTAAATAAATAAACGTGTATTTAAAAGATGAATAGAAATACAGCAGCGGGCTGTTGCAATACGCACCGGATGAAGCCAGTGATGGATGGAGCCAAGGCGAGAGGACGCAGACAAGCGAAGTGGCGAGAAATATCAAATGCATGATTCATATTTGATTGCTGAAATAACCCAATATCATCATCACAACGACGCTGTTAATCGCTGGGGGTCCATCATCGTGGTGCGGGAGGGGACAGACCGTGTGGAGGGGATGGGGGGGTCTTTCTTCATGGATCCATCCAGGAGACACCGGGTTCTGATGCTGCAGCAGAGGCTGCTGAGGAGGACGGAGAAAAGGAGGAGGAGGAGGAGGAGGGAGCTCAAAGAAGGCGGTGGCCAGGCTCATAGACACTGTACTCTGGGTTACTGAAAACGATTGGAGCGATTGAACAGGAGAAAATTACTAAAAAATAAAAAATGAAATTCTTTGAAAAATGTCAGAATTCAGAGAATTAAACCAGAATCTGAGATTACAGCCATAATCCCAGGAAATAAACCAGAATCTGAGATTACAGCCATAATCCCAGGAAATAAACCAGAATCTGAGATTTAAGTCAAAAAATTCTGAGAATTAAACCAGCATCTGAGATTACAGCCATAAATCCCGGGAAATAAACCAGAATCTGAGATTTGAGTCAAAATTCTGAGAATCAAACTAGAATCTGAGATTACAGTCATAATTCTGGGAAATAAACCACAATCTGAGATTTAAGTCAAAATTTTGAGAATTAAACCAGCATAGGATAACAGCCGTAATTCAGAGAATTAAACTAGAATCTTAGATTACAGTCATAATCCCAGGAAATAAACCAGAATCTGAGATTAAAGTCAAAATTGTGAGAATTAAACTAGAATCTGAGATAACAGTCATAATTCTGAGAATTAAACCAGAATCTGAGATTACAGCCATAATTCTGAGAATGAAACTAGAATACAGTATGAGATTACAGCCATACCCTTAGCAAAAAGTAGTTTATTCAAGTATACTAAAAGTGAACTAATTTCATACCTAAAATCAGGCGGTGCACTTAGAGTTTACTTATTCTAAACTATATTTCATATACTTAACAATAGTATAGTCAAGTGTACTTGACTATACTATTGTTTACTAAAGTATACTTTAAGTATACTTTAGTAAACTTAAAAATGTCCTAATTTAGTTTGAAGAAGTATTACTTTAGTAATACTTCAAGTACGCTAAAAGTACATTGTTCGGTATACTTTCTAAACTTATCCTTAAGTATTCTTAATAGAATTTACTTCAAGTATACTACTTTTTGCTAAGGGTAATTCTGAGCATTAAACAAGAATCTGAGATTACAGCCAAAATTCTGTGAGAAAAAAAAAAAAACAGAATCTGAGATTTCAGTCAAAATTCTATGAATTAAACCAGAATCAATTCAATTTCAATACTGTTTATTTATATAGCGCACATTTACAACACATGTCATCTCAAGTTCACCAGTTCATACAGTCAAATTGATTCAGTTTGATATCTAAGGAAAAACCAGTTGATTGCAACATCTCATTGACTCAAATTCAATCCCTCACACTAAGCATGCTTGAAACGACAGTGGAGAGGAAAAACTCCCTTTTAACAGGAAGAAACCTCCAGCAGAACCAGGCTCAGTGTGAGCAGCCATCTGCTGAGGGTTCAAGGAAATAGAAGCAGAGATACAAAAAGCAACTGTGAAAGGCGGCCCCATCCAGGAAACACACAGCCAGGCAGACGAGCTCTGAGTCAGCTCCCATGTCAGAGGATAAAGAGAGCACATCCAGCCGGTCACAGTCAGAGAAACAGGACACTGGAAAATAGGCCGATCTCCAACATCTATTAACAAAGGTGTTGATGCAACATATTCTCATTATCAGTTCGTATGAAATCGTACGAAAAGTTCTGCACACTATTTCCTACGTTTTGGACGTTTTTCCTCAAAAAAACCACATCAGTGTGCATGCGCTGGCAGACAGAACAAAAAAAACAGATCCGCAGACGGACGTAAAACTGGGAAAAACAGTGCAATCATCACTTATTCATGTCTCTAGCTATGTTGCTTGCTGTTTTATATCTTAGGGTTAGGGTCAGGGTTAGGGCTAATTGTAATTTATATTCTATATTCGTGAATGGTCCTTCAGATGTGCATGCGCATACGACGAAAAAAACGTCCAAAACATACGAAATTACGGTGCATAACTTTTCGTACGATTTCATACGAACTGATAATGAGAATACACTGGTTGATGGCTGCAGCACAGCTGATATTTCTCTCCAGGGTGGTCAGAAAATAAAACCAGAATTATTAGAATACCATCAAAATTCTTAGGAAGGCTTTTTTCCAATCGCAGAAATCATTTCCTAATTTATTTGGTTGATGTACTGGAAACCAATCGGCAGCTGAATTCACCTTTAAAAGTATACTGATTATTTACAGATAAGGACTAGAAAAGGTACTCATAATGCTTAAAGGTGTAGTGGATCATCAAAATAAATGGTCCTCCTAACTGTCAATCATTCTGGTGATATGTTTATGTAAGGCCCTCCTACGTGCTCGTCCCCATTTTCACTTACCAGTGGTGAGTCTGACATAGTGGAAAAATTGCAAATCTTCTTTTGGAAAGTAAGCTTGTATGAGCGATGCAATGAGGAACTTTTAAACAAAGCGTGAATGAGGAGCAATGGGCTCGTGCATGCTCTCGCACGCGTTTAATCTCTCTCGGGAGTGGGTACAAAGTTGTGCATGTGCATTTTTTCAAAAATATGCAAAAATAGCTGGAAAGAAAAGGATATCAAAAATTGAATTTTTATGCACTGATTAAATGCAGAGCAGAATGCAATGGCTTTAACCCCGCAAATAAGAAAGAAAATTCAAAAAAATAAAGACGATTTCCATCTATCCATCCATCTTCCTCTGCTTATCCGGGGTTGGGTCGCGGGGGCAGTAGCTTAAGAAGGGAGGCCCAGACTTCCCTCTCCCCAGCCACTTCTTCCAGCTCTTCAGGAGGAACCCCAAGGCGTTCCCAGGCCAGCCGAGAAACATAGTCTCTCCAGCGTGTCCTGGGTCTTCCCCGGGGCCTCCCCCCGGTGGGACGTGCCCGGAACACCTCACCAGGGAGGCGTCCAGGAGGCATCCTAAACAGATGCCCAAGCCACCTCAACTGGCTCCTCTCGACGTGGAGGAGCAGCGGCTCTACTCCGAGTCCCTCCCGGATGACCGAGCTTCTCACCCTATCTCTAAGGGAGAGCCCAGCCACCCTACGGAGGAAACCCATTTCGGCCGCTTGTATCCGCGATCTCGTTCTTTCGGTCATGACCCAGAGTTCATGACCATAGATGAGGGTAGGAACGTAGATCGACCGGTAAATCGAGAGCTTCGCTTTTTGACTCAGTTCTCTCTTCACCACGACGGACCGGTACAGCGCCCGCTTCACGGCAGACGCTGCACCAATCCGTCTTATTAAGGATTAATCCGTCTAATTAAGGATTTCTAATTTAGACTTCATTAAGGTGATAGATTTTTAACTTAAAATCCTAGACTTCAAGTTTCCATAAAATGTGTAACAGAAGTTAATTTTTAAACTAGGAGAGATTCAATGGAAGAAGGATGGATACTAGTCCATAAGAATAACGTTATGAAAAGTACTGAGGCTGCATTGGATTTGTTACCCCAAACAAAGTGTGCCGCATATCTTTGCTTCTTGTTTAAAAGTGAGCTGTTTACAACCACTATCAGCCTTTAAACAATTCTGGACACCCACATGATGTCATGGCTTTGTAAGCTTCTGATTGGTTATCAGCCGCTGCCAAGTTGTTAATGATTATCACTAGTGGTGGACTAGTGATAATCTCAGGAGTAGTACTTGAGAAAAAGTATCGATACTCATAGTCAAATCTTACTCAACTACAAGTACAAACATCTACTCAATTTAAAGTACTAAAGTACTAACTTTTGAAAATACTTAAGTATTCAAAAGATGATTTTTACATGATTTTATAAGTACTTCAGTATTTAGAAATACAAATAAAATGTTCTAAAAAATAATTTCAGTGCATTTCTGTATAATTTTCAGAGTAACTTTAAATAACCTTGCAACTTTCAAATAACAGGAGTGTAGAGGGGAATAGAGGTTTAAGGTTGAATCTATTACCACACAGAAACTACAACTCTGGTTTGAAAACTCATCCTACTGAACAACTTGGCCACATGGTAACAACTAACACCTTAATGAAATGTATAAACTACAAACAATATCTGCCATGAGTTTCTCACATTTATAAAATGTCATGTAAATCTCTAAAACAGTGGTGTCCAAATTCAGACCTAAGGGCTGCTATCCTGCATGTTGAAATTGCATTTAAAGGAAGGAAAAGCAACAGTGGATTATAAAGCTAAGCTGAGCCAAAGGGAACAAGGAAATAGCAGCTTCCTTGAAATAGAGTAGAAAGAACAATATTTTTACTTTATGATGTAGTAGAGTGAAAGTTATAAGTACCGCCTCCAAAAATGACTTAAGTAAATTAAAGATACAAAAAAAAATTAATTAAGTACAGTAATCAAGTAAATGCACTTTGTTACTTTCCACCACTGATTTTGGCAGCAAGCGGGGGCTGTGGAAGAGATCAGCTTGAGACATCATTGGGAAAATTAAAAGAAAAAGACATGTGTTATAAACATCCTGAATGCCCACCCAAATATGTGATTTCAGGAAAGAGATAGCTTGGTTGTCCTAGAGATGAGCATGCTCAGATGTGAAAAATAGACACCAACCCCAGAACAAGAAGCCTTTTTTTTCTGTTGCCTGTGGGGTGAGGTTGCCAGCATGCTTTAGATCATGTTATTTTGCTTGCATAATAGACATGAGGAAACAACATGTTGAACAGATGAAGAAACATCTGAAGCAGGGTTTGTCCAAATTTGGTCCTTGTAGGCTGGTGTTCTGCCGGTTTAGGTGTTTTTTTCTTTTTTAAAACACTGATAGCTGCAGACATTAAGGTAATTAGGTGAAACTGGGAAAGGTCTAACTTTGGACACTCCTGATATAAATAAATCAGATAAGCAGGTAAAGATTGTGCATAAACATTTCTTCACATTATAAAGTAATACCAGCAAATTCGATAAAGAGGAACTAAAATACAACATAGTGGATGTTTTGGGGTAGGCTTTACAAAGTCTTGATCAGATATACCTGTTAATTCTGTATAGGTTAGAATTGTAAGATGCATTCAGCCAGTGCCCCAGAGTTTTTTGCTTATTTAATAATAAAATGCACTTT